GGGGGGGAATGGGGTGCTAACAAAAATGAGCATGAAAAAAACAATGTCTTTAAATTGGTGGTGGTAATGATTTCACAACTCAATATGATTAAGTAATTAAATTGTATGATATGTGAAATATATGCCAACAAAACTATTTTAAAACAAGAAAAGAAAATCACAAGAGATGGTACATACCACACATAAAAAATACTGGAGTGGCTAACTTGGAAAAGACTGATGAATACCAAGTTACACAAAGATATGGAGCAACCAGACTGCTCATACATTACTGCTGAGAATGTAGTCATTTTAGAAAATAATTCATTCTTCTTTTCAAGGAAAATAAATATAAATATAATATTTCTGAAGTTTTGTGTAGGCAGCAATAAAATAGTCTCAATATGTATAATGCACAAATTAACATTACTCAGAAGTTGACAGATTAACTGTCATAGAGGAGAAGTTACAAATCTATCTTAGTATTCTCTGTCATATTTTGGTGTAAAACATTACATAAAATATTTAAAGAAGACCTGCTATCTAAGGTACAACTATTCATCTCTCCCCATCTGGAGAAAAAAGAATAATGAACATTCAAAAGCATATGAAAACAATCCAGTGGACTAATTGGATCATGCAAACATCATTTCTACAACCCTGAGACCACATGGGGTCCAGCTACCACTACCTTTCCTCTGAAAAGGATCTTATTAGTAGGTCCTAGATAGAGTAAGGGGAAAATGCAGAACAGAACTCAAAATAAATGAAAGAATGGTGAGACCCCTGAGACTATCACCCTTAGTCATTCTTGACTCTGGAACTGAACTTTCACCCCCCATATTAGAATAATCCACCATTTAAGGTCAAAAGGGCAACATTTACTCAAGGAGGGTTAGGAAGGGAGGAAGAACGGAAACCAGGAAACAATGGCAAGAAACTAGGGTAGGTGAGGCTACCTTGAGAGGATTGCAGTGGATGAGTTGTAACAAAATATTCGTGGATTGTTGAATGTAAAACGAATTATCTGCTCTGTAAACAAAGTTTTAAAATAATTTGTTTCTATAATATCTAATGTTCATGTCATTAAGCGTCTTTATTTTTACACAGACTCATTCACTTGCAAATGTTTAATTTACTAATAAATGTTATTACATAATAAAATGGTAATTTTTAGTGTGTAATAACTGGATGCTATGAAAATTATTTAATTAAGAATGATTTATTGAGGTAAATAGGGTATGAAAGTTACCATTTTAAAGTATACTATTCAGAGCATTTATTCTATTCCCAGTGCTGAGCAACTGCCTATACTATTTTCCCCCAAAACATTTTCATCCCCCTAAACAGAAGCACCATACTTATTAACTTATAGTTAATCTGTCAACTTCTGAGTAATGTTAATTTGTGCATTATACATATTGAGACTATTTTATTGCTGCCTACACAAAACTTCATTTTATTGGGGGCTCCTACAATTCTTATCACAATCCTTACATACATCCATTGTGTCAAGTACATTTGTTGCCATCATCATTCTCAAAACATTT